AAGCTTAAATTAATTATGTCACTACTGAGAAAGAGTTATTAGTAATTGTCTATGCTTGTAATGAGTTCAAATAATATCCTACTATGATTTTGATAAGTTAATATCATATCTCATTGGAGCTAAATGTATTATGCATACTGATCACTCTGCTATATGATATTTGATGCAAAAGAAAATTTGATGCAAAAGAAAGACGCAAAACCAAGATTAATTAAATGGATCATTCTGATGCATTTAATGAGTTCAAATAATTAATATCATATCTCATTGGAGCTAAATGTATTATGCATACTGATCACTCTGCTATATGATATTTGATGCAAAAGAAAGTATTATGCATACTGATCACTCTGCTATACGATATTTGATGCAAAAGAAAGACGCAAAACCAAGATTAATTAAATGGATCATTCTGATGCAAGAATTTGATTTTGTGGTAGTAAATAAGAAGAGATTTGATAATCAAATAGCGGATCATTTATCTAAGCTGGAACAAGAAAAATCATTTAATTATGAAAGTGAAATTAATAAAAATTTTCATAATGAACATTTATACACTATTAATGAATGACATGTGTTATGGACTGCAGACATAGTGAACTATATTATTAGTGATCTTTTACCGTATGGATCGACAATGCAACAACAGAAAAATTTTATTCATGATGCTTACTTTTAGGATGACCAATATTTATATAAGCAATGTAAATATCAGGTTATTCGAAGATGTTATCGTATGAAGAAACTGAAAAAATTATTTAAAAATATTACGATTCTGAATTTGGGAGACATTTTAGAATTGGTAGAACAAAATATAAAATTTTACAATCTAGATTTTAATGGCCTACCCTATTTAAGGATGTTAATACATATGTAAAAACATGTGATTGATGTCAATGAGCAGGAAATATTTCAAAAAAAAATGAAATGCCCCTAATTTTACATTGGAAGTTGATTTTTTTTATGTTTGGAGATTGAATTTTATGGGACCATTTGTTATATATATATATTAATTATAGTAAACTATGTTTCTAAATGGATCGAAACAATTGCTTTACTTCGATAAGATGCTCGGAGTGTTTCAAAATTTTTTAATGAAAAATATTTTTACAAGATATGAAATGTCTGGAGTATTCATTACAGATGGGGGATCTTATTTCATGAATAGAAGAATTGAAAAGTTGGTTGGAAAATATGATATAGAGCATAGGATCTTCACTGCTTATCATCCCTAAACTAGTAGTCGAGCAAAATTATCTAACCGTGAAATTAAAAAAAAAAAATTGGAAAAGACAACAAATCCTAAGAAAATAGATTGGTTTGCTAGATAAAATGCATTATGGAAAGACTTATTTTTGGAAAGACTTATCACTTATATTATGGGATTACAGAACATGTGTCATGGTATGCAGACAACTTATAAAACTCTTATAAGCATTATGGGCTTACAAAACAACTTATAAAACTCCTATAGAAATGTCTCTATATAAAATTAATTTTGGAAAGACTTATCACTTATCAGTAGAATTGAAGCATAAAGCTTATTGGGCTATTAAAGAATTTAATTTTAATTTAAAAGATGATGGTGAGAAAAAATTATTGCAACTGAACGAGCTTTATGAAAATGCTAAGATTTAAAAGGAAAAAAATGAAAAATTGGCATGATCGAAAGATAATAAAAAAGGAATTTGAACATGGACAAGAAGTTTCGTTGTATAACATAAGATTGAAATTATTTCCTGAAAAATTTAAGTCCAAGTGGTTAGAGTCAGTTATTATTAAAAAATCTACTCATATGGAGTTGTGGATATTGAATATCCAAAAGCCAGAAAATATTTAAAATTAATGGACATAAGTTAAAATCTTATTTTGATGGACACATACCAATTTTTAAAGAGGTTTTAATGTTGGGTCACCAAGAGTAAAAACTAAGAACATCGGGCAAGCGCTTTGTGGGAGGCAACCCATAGTTATTTGTGTAATTATTTTCAATTTGTTTTTACGTAATATAAGCTCTTGCGATTAAATTCTATGTGCTTTGGAGACTTACATGTTAAGAAAATACATAAAAACATTTTAGTTATTCAATTTTATGGAAGGCATGAGAGTTATTTTGAACCTTAGGCGAAGGTGCAAAAAAGTGCACTGGCGTCTGGAAGCTTAAAGTGGTGCCTAAGCACTTATTTCACAGAGCACTAGCACATAGGCGCCTAAATCTGGCGCCTAAGCACCACTTTCCAGAAAGCCCGATGCCTAAGCGCCAGAATCTGGAGCCTAGGCGCTGTAATTGGAAAAGTCATCTTGGAACCTTCTATTGACGGTTTTTGGCCAAATTTTCTCTGTATAATTCCTAAAACCTCCCATTTGGAGTTAAATTAAATTGGTAGAGAGGGAGAGGATTCACTAATCTTGTTCCTATGGCCTTCAACTCCAAGGAAACTTTCAAATATGAGATTTCAACCGGAGAAAGTTCATTAATTTCGATGCACAGAGTTTGCATGACAAGGTCCTTATGAAGAAGAGGTTGATCAATGAAAGTGGTTTCGTGAATCGAGGATTCAATACTCCTGGCACTATTGTGAAAGAAATCATTTTGTAAAGGCGATAGGAAGTACTATGCTACACAACTGAGACTGTAGTAATTCCTATTGTGAAGGAATTTTATGTAAATCTTCATAAGATAAATCAAGGAGTTGTCTATGTTCGAGGCAGGTGGGTACCTTTTACTCCTAAAATTAATGCTTTGTTCTTAATAGAGAACATTCCGATTTGTCATTATGCCAACTTTGCCCCTACAAGAGACAATATGAATGAAGTTTTTAGATTCTTGACGAATGAAGATAGAACATGGGAGATACGAGATAACAATAATGTAAGTTTTCTTCTTCATTGTTAAATTCTGCATCTAAGCCTTGGCATATCTTTATTTCGGCAAAATTGCTCCCTACAACAAAAATCAGTAAAGTAACGTAGGAAAGTGCTATATTGAACTACTGTATTCAAACTAGAAGACCTATTGTTGTGGGTGCTATAATAGTAAAATCTACTCTTGGGTTGATTCTGAAGGGATCTAATCTTGGTCTTTGACATCCATCCACAATATTTTTATTTTGTAGCCAATCGCAAGTTCCATATGAAAATTTGGAAAAAGTGCTTCTTCCTTGGAAGCACATGGACCCAGCTTTAAACTGTGATTACTTAGAAAATGGGGAAGTGGATTATAGAAATGTTCTTATGGATCAATCATCTGGATAGTTCGACCATCTGGATTGCAGCATTTCTAATTAGTTCGACCATCTAAATTGGAGAATTAAAGAGCAATTTGATCACACTGGACTTATGGAAGAGGCTATGATGCAAATGTATAAGAAAAATGTTTGAATCAAAGAAGCTCGGCTGATGAATTTTCTCACCGTCCTTTCTATAACTTATTTGTGCATCGCCAATCAATGAGAGATATTAGAGAAGATGACAGGTGTGAAGATGAATATGTGTGGCAACTTCGAAGTTTGGAATTCTGGTTTATAAGAGCTTATTTGTGTTTAGTTATGTCGGATTTCCTTAGTTTTCAATATCAAACTTATTATATTTTCTATTAGTATTTGATGTTTAGTTTTCAACATTAGGATGTTGGCGTGATTTTGACACTGAGTTTTGTGACGTGATTTCAAAATACTTGTTTATAATTATTTGGATTTATATATAAAAATGTGAAGACCCTCGAGTAAGACCCTCAAGCCAAGGGTTCGAATCCCAGCCCTTACAGGCAGATCTGTATATATATATGTAGATATACATATGTAGATATATGTACATATGTAGATATACATATGTAGATATATGTACATAGATATATGTACATATGTATGTATGTATACATGTATATACATGTATATATATAATTAAAGAGTTATTTTTAAATAATTCAAGTGACTACAAGGCTACAATGGCTTATAATCAATCGAAAATGCTAATTAAAAATTGAATAAAAATCTATTAAATTCTATTAATTGAATATTTTAATAAAAATAGAATTAAATGTTGCCCTACCCTTAGCATCCTACGATCGTGTGACTATGGTTGTATCATGAACAACTCATGCTCGGCTCGATAAGCAAGCAAGCCAAACACGAACAAAATTTTTGAGCTCGATATATAAGCAAGCCGAATATGTACAAGGATATTTTTTAACAAGTCGAGCTTGGTTTTGCTCTAGCTTTGACTTTTTTACACCCCTAATGGCTGCACATATGCTAGGATTGTCAAAACAGCTCTTTGCTCATAAATAGCTTGTGTTCTGCTCACTAAGCAAACGAGCCAGACACAAACGAATTTTTGTGCGTTCGAAATATACACAAGCCGAACACAAATAGTGATATTTTTTTAATTGGACGACACAAGCTGGACCAGGGCTCTCTCGTGTTCAGCCTGTTTACAACCCTACTAGGAAGCCCTCACCAAGATTTTGGGCGAGGCTTCATTTTTTGAGATTTTTTGCCGGGATGATCAATTTGATAGATGAAGAGATTTTAGGTGTTGATAGGTAAATATTGAAATTTGTGTGTTTGATATGTACTATTAAATCCCCCAATGAAGTCTTTTTTTGAGAAGTTTAAATAATTTTAATTATTTAACTCCTAATTATTCACTATACTTGACATTTTATTCTAACACTAATTTAAATTAATAATATTTTCTCTCCTTTATATTAATCAAAGGAGCCCAAATTTCTAATTCTAAAGCTCGAACTCGACTAATTAACTTTGCTCTAGATTTTGCCAAGAAAGGCTCGAGCTCTGACTCCACGTCTTTATATCCCTAAAGAAGTCTGAATATCACAGAAGTAGAACCAATGGCGAACAAACAATAAAACACAACTCTAAAATATATGCCTGCTATTTTTCTTCGCACCAAAAAAACAAACAGAGAAACTAGCGAATGATCATCAAAATAGGCACATAAATATCATCAGCAACGCTTCAAAATATTACCATCATTTTAAAATTTATATCAATCTATTAGGCCATAATAAATACATTATCAACATGAAGCAAAAAGTAAAAGCATAAAATTTGTATAAACTCCACATTTCCAGTTGCTAAAATCCTATCTACACAAAGAAGTCAAAAATACCAGGCCCAATAGACAATAGTTCCTCACTTCTGATCTCCACATCCTGTCTTCTAAGCCTGAACAACTCGACTCCCAACGGACTAACCCCGTTACATCCATTCATGTACAGAACGCCTAATCGGCCGCACCCCTCTCGCAAACTTTGCAACCCTCTATCACACAAATTTCGACACCGGTTGACATGCAATACCTTCAAACCACAACAATTCAACCCAATTGCTTCCCATCCCAACACACCAATCTCATGACACACAGCAACACTCCATTCCTCAAGCAAAGGACAAGACTTTGATATCGTCACCACGGATTCATTTGAAATAAACCGGCACAAGCGAAGATTAAGAAACCGAAGCCTCGACACGAGCATGGGCGCTAAGACATCAATATTCATCGAACATCTTGAATTTGAGAGATTTAAGTACTTCAGTCCACCACCGCTCACTGCTTGCAGCAGACCTTCATTGGTAAACATACAACACTCTGCCTCTATGTATTCAAGTGTCTGTGAACACCCTTTAAGTCCACTGCCAGTTACATAACTGCAACATGACAATACTAAAACATGGAGTAATCGGCACCCTGTCGAAAGTGCACAAATCCCACGGTCGGTTATGTCAGTGCAGTACGATAAGTTTAAATTCTCCAATAATTTGCAGAAATTTGCAATATTTTGTAATGCTAAATCAGTGATTGTGCATCGATAGAGTGTCAACGATACCAGTCGAGAGCAGTGCATGGCGACGTGAGCGAGACCATCATCTGTGATTTTGAAGCAACAGGATAAGGATAGTGAGCGGAGGCTAATTTTTAGGTTCTTCAGGCCGAATAGCGCCGAATCAGGTAATTCTGTGCAGCCGGCGATGGAGATGGATGATAGATGAGAAAAACGATTTAGCAGCGCTGGAAGATATCTGACATATGATTGATAAGTTGTAGTCTCGTAAGAAAAGTGGAGATTTAGTGATCGACGAGATATGTTTTGAATGTGATGCCAATGACGACAGGTTAGGCCAAAAGCGTTTCGATCATGACGGCTTTGAAGTTTTTGAAAAATGCTGATGAGGCAATCGTCGGATAAAGTCATATCGGCGAACAAGTTCCCAAAGAAGATGCTAAAGATTCGACGTCAAAAGCCCCAGGTGAGACGAGTATAATTGTATAACCATACCCAAAACATTGATAGATTCTTTGGTAGCAGCTTACACTGAAACAACCTGAGTAAATCAACTGAGATGCAATGAGAAAGAGGTTATAGATTTCATGACCGATCTTTGGTGCAAAGAGTGCGTCAAATAATACCACTTCAGAGAATTTAAATTCAATGATAGCCATTGGACGTACAACTGCATAAATCAATAACAATACTTAGCTCATAGATTTCAATACAAAAATTAAGGGGCATTTACATGCATACACATAATTCTTATATATTTACATATATTAACATCTAAAGTTTAATATTTACATTCAACACTTTGGTTCTTTAAACCTATGAATGAAAATGTGTATTTCATTTTTAAAAGTGATAATAGTAATATTTTTTGTGATATTAAAGATTTGAGTGCTATGAGATGCAACTCAAATTTGTGCTATTTTCCTGCTTAAATTCCATGTTTTATTTCATATTTATCAAGAAGGTTATATTTCTTGTATTTTTTATGTTATAAGTAGGGCTATCAGAAAAGCTCGTTGTTCATGAACAACTCGTGATCGGCTCAGTAAGTAGTTTGTGTTTGATTCGTTCGTTAAACAAGCGAGTCGAACACGAACAATTTTTTTTGTTCGAATTATAAATGAACCGAACACAAACAAGAAGTCGTTCATTTGTGTTCAGTTCGTTTTGATTCGAAATAAATAAATAATTAAAAAATGATATAATTACAACATGTTTATATTAGAATTTTATGATATATTGAATAGAAAATTATAAAATTAAAATGAGCTCAAACATGGTTGATTTCATGAAAAAACTTTAGCTTATAGTATTGCATTTAAATTAAAACATTATGGTGCCATGATGAAGGGGGCTTCTAATGATTCATCCAAGTTGTCATTTTAAAAACAACAATAATGTCAGAAGCACACGCCAATATTATAGCCGCCTAGAAGAAACTAGATTTAAGACCGTCCTATGATTTGGTATTGATTGTCCAAATAATAAAATAAACAAAACTTCAGCCAATAGCAAACATCTCATTTTTCCATATCTAAACAAATTGTATGTATTTGTTGGCTATTAAGCTGTAAACTGAGGAGTGGTGCACTGACTACTACTTCGTCAATCTAATGTTTAAAACAAACGACTCCAATATTAGGTCCCAAACTGTGAATGGAATTTAGACCACTAATTTATAGAGAAGAGAAGCATAAACCTTTTAGTGCCAAAAAAAAAAAAAAAAAAGATAAAAGAGAAATTCACGCACATACCACACAATGCTTAAGTATTTATAAATCTAAAGCCTAAGCATTTATATTTACATTATAACATTTGGTGTCATAAATCTATGCATGTAAAAGTGTATTTCACTTTTAAAAAGTAAATAGAAGTGATATTTAATATAATATGAAGGATTTGAGTGCGATGAATGTAAATGTGAAAGTTTAGGTGTTTGAAATGTAAATACATAAAATCTGTATGGTATGTATGTAAATGCCCTAATTTTCCTGCCAATATAATAATTGCCAGCACATTTTGATTTGAACTGAGTAGCCATACTATATGACACTAATATTGTGTACCTTATCGCCTCAGCAAACACATTATCCTTAAAGCAGTCCATTTAACTTTATGTGGCTTACTTTATAGAAGTAACTAAAGTGGAATCCATCAGATATCCTGATTTTGATTAATAGATGGGAATAAAGAAGTTACACATTTCATCTCAAAGGACTCTCCAAGTCGGCATCATGGCAAAAACAACAAAAAATTTTCTCAAGTAATTAAAAACTGATCAAATTTCTTTTAGGAAAATACGACATTATTGGTTTTGAAGTGCCAAAAAAGATTGTCATTCACAAACATCTCATGTTCAACTAGCTAAGTAGCTCGTGTTCAATTTATTTGCTAAGCAAGCAAGTTGAACACGAAAATTTTTTTTAGCCTGGTTTATAAACGAGCCGAACATGAATAAACCTGTACTAAAAGTGTTAAAACAATCATTCTATGCAAAGATTTTTTTGAGAATACACTGTTTTGACCATGAAAAGGATGTCATAGGGTTGATGAATTAAAAAGCTTTCTTCTTTGTTCTGTCACAAACTGCTTTATTGGTAAAATTTTACTTCGATCATACTGTAATATGTTATAGAGGCCAACAAAATTATCTATCAAGTTGAACTCACATTAGAGTAAAGTGATGAGCGCTAAAAAAAACATAAATCCTTGTGTAGAAAAAAATGAGATCAAATATGTATTGGTAGTTCAGCATGACAAGGGAACTTCAAGTTTAATAATAATCTAGCAAACAATCATAAATCTTATATCAAAATGCACAATTTTATGGTATTTGACTGTTCACTAGTGCTCATGTACCATTTCTAGGCCACACGCCATTACAACCTACTTGTGGCCATAAGTGGGTAAGAGATAGCTAGTAAATATTTTAGTGGATTGCCATCAAAAAGATAAAATAATTGAGGTGAATTTATTTAGTATTTCATAGACTCCTATTAAGTTGATAATATAAATTGGATTAGAATTTTATTTTTGGAAAGAAATGGACGATATTCTTAAACTTCTAAAAATAAAAGATGAACATTGACTTAAATACTTTTCTAGATTTTACTAGGGTGGATTATAAGATAATTGATGGTGGGCATGACTTGGGAGATAAAATTGTGATGCTATAAGTCATACTAGATTTTGTAATAGCATATAATCATATAAGTGTAAACACACATTTTAATAAACGAGACAAATACATTTGCTTTTGAAAGTGGAGTACTAAATGAAAAATTAATTATATTTTACTTCAAAGAAAAAATATAAAATATTTTGTGCAAATCAAAAAGTAATTTTGAATAAATTTTGACATACAATATGAAAAAATAAAACTTTGATGCATATCTTGGATATTCAAAGAATGTTGACAAGAAAATACTAAACTTAGAATAATGCTTCGAAACTTAAAATATGAGCAATTATTTTATATTTAAAAATAGGTACCATCAAAAGCAAATTAAACCTCAAAACCTATCGAAATTTTAGGTTTTTTCCCTTTTGGTATCTTCAATTTTTATTATTTTCTATTTTTAGCGGTCTTTATTATCTAGAATTAACTATTATTGGTAATTTCTATTTCATTTTTCTAGCATAATGATTTTATGCATTTCCTAAAGTGGTGGTCTTCCCTTGCTTTTTATCTTGTAACCAAGCATTTGAAAATGAAGAGAAATAATTATTTTTTCCCTCTCAAAAATTACAAAACCAATCAAATTAACATGAACAAATGAAAATTTAGATTATGAAGATCGTTGGGATGATCTAGAAATAGATCTTCTAAGAGTTGTGTAATTAAATAATGTTTATGAAATAATAAGGATAAAGAAAATGTCAAATGAGTTGAAAAGTAACATTTTAGTACTCAATATTAGAAATACTTCTCCAAAAACTAAAAATGAAATAAATATTGCCAAGAGATACATTAGTATTAAGGAGGTTTTTAAGTTCTAAAAAGGAAAGTAGTTAATAGAGTCAAAGATACACTTATTGATTATTTGCAAAACAGGGTAGGCGTCACATATGGATTAAAAAAATAAATAAAATATAAAAATAGTGAAGGTGAAGAAAAAAAAAAAGTTGAAAACTATGATCAAGTTCAATGCACCATAAGTAAAGATGCTTGGATTTTAATTACCAATGAAAATATTAAGAAAAGATGAAAAATACAACTTTTAAAAACTGTTATTTTTTTAGCAAATTACATCTAGGACTTAAGAATTAGGGTATGCTTCATGTTAATCCATGTTTTTTAAACCAATCTATGTTTGGTTGCATGAAGTTGATTTTGTGCATTAAAAAAGCCCTTCCATGGAAAAATCGTAAGAAAATATTTTAATTCCTAAAAATCCTTCACAAAAAAAGAAAAAAAGGATTTTCATAGATCTCGTTCAGTCCAATAGCTGATGTTAATGTCCCTATTCTGAGCTTATATGAAACAAGTTAATCCCATTTTGATATCTTTCCTTGCATGACTGATGGCTTGGGGGTAATTTTCCCTACCACTCTCACTTGAACACTATTAACATTTTCCCATCTCTTAATTTGGCAACTGTGATGAAGATTCTAGTACACGTTGATCATATATTCTTCTCCTTCCTCATCAAAAACTTCGTGGAACATCGATCTCAAGTATATGAAGATCAACCATAAATATCTTAGAGCTGTATGGGTTTTCTACTGACTAAGAACTGTGTCATCTAATTGTGCTCTTAAGGGCACTGGCCTCTTGCCCAATCTTCTAAACTTTTAACTAAGCTATTAAAATTATTTTGCTTTTCTTTGGGATAATTACATACATAGAACCCAAAACATTGCTATTTACAAAATCTAGCACTAGGGATATATTTTTGAAGTACCAAACTGATGTATTGATGCATATCATCATTAAACCATTTAAAATTTGATAAAAATGAAAAATATGGGTTGGGGTTTTATCATGAATTTTGATATTTGAGGGACAACAACAACAACAACAACAAAGCCTTAATCCCACTACGTGGGGTCGACTACATGAATCTTTTTTCTCCATTGCATCCAAAAAAAAAAGGATTCACAATGTCATGATTTTTTTTCGACAAATTTTACGCTCGCTGTCGACTACCTAACGCAACCCTCCACTTTTCGCATCCGGGCTTGGGACCGGCAATAACAGTGTTATATTTGAGGGAGACTTTGACAAATGGATGAATGAGGGTGCTTGATTTGTAAATAGCAATGTTTTGTGTATATAATTGCCCTTTTTTAAAGGGCCTTTATGTTAGTGTTAGTTCCTTTAGTTTTTTCCATAGTTTAAAAGGGATTTGAGGTGTGTTCCTTGAAGTGCATTACCTTTAAGCTTATGATTTCATGGTCTAGGTGACACTTGCACATTTTTGGAGTGAGGCATTCCCCCCAAGGTTTTATATCACAAGGCATTTGACGTGAACACTTCAAATGAATATATAATAATGATAATTATAATACTAATAATAATAACTCTTCCTGAGTTATATATTTAGGTTAAATTTGTGCAGAGCAATTAAAGCAAAGATAGAGTTGTCATTAAGGTTAGGGCTACAAGTGAATCAGTGCACGTGATAAACAACTCAAATGACTCGATTAATACTTGATCAAATTTGTTGAAATTATTAAATAAACAAGTTTGAACTTTATTTTAAAACTAGAATATGTTAAATGAACTAAATATAACAACTTTCAACTTGCTTATTTATGTTTATGAATAAACTCATTTGTTGTTCAACAAGTAGCTTTTTAAATAATTGATATTAAATTTAATGATAACTAATATTAGATATGATATATTAATTAAATAAAATTTCATTAAGTAGAACTTATCTAATTAAATAAATTTAATAATAACAGATAATTATTTAATATCTATAATATTTTACTGTTAAATATTAATTACATATTTATTTTATTAGGATATGTTTATTAATTAACATAATTTATTAATTAACACATAATTATCCACAACGTTCAATCCATCATATCTTTTAATATTAAATATTTATCATTTCATAAATATATAATATATATCTATCTATTATATGATCATATTATTTAATAATATCAAATATCTTTAATCTTTATGCCCATCCACAAATCATTATTTGTTTAACAATTAGTAGTCTTGGCCCTTTTTTTTGCCTTTTTGCGGTTTTAACTCGCTTCTTTTACATGAAATGCTTCTTATTAAGATAAGTACTCATAATTACATTTAGCTTATATATAAATAATTTATTTATCATTAGTGAATATACATATTAAGTTAATAAAATTCTCTTATTTCACTATTTTAATGAACTAGTTTATTTGTACTTGCATATGTTATTTGATTGCATAAAACATGCTTGTAATTTATATAGTATCTTATTTGATTGGTGTAAAATAGTTATATGCTGATTGAGAATTAATTCAATTACTCATTTGTTTAGATTTATAAAAAAAATTGTAAATATTTTCTATGAAAAGTCATAATCATTCGAATTTTATCTTATTTTATCAACTAATTAAAATACTCGTTCAATTAATATAAACAAATCAATAACTATCAATAAAAAAAATCTAAACAAGCCAAATATGAACATACAAGTGAATGCTTGCCTTGAGTTTGAGCTTAACATGAGCAACTTATAATATTACCAAGCTAAGACCAATCCATGTCATACTCAACTTGATTATATCCCTAGTTAAGGTTACAAATGATCCATTACTGACAAGCTACTCGTGGCTTGGCGCTGTTAGAAGTCATTCATGATTGTTTAATTAACTAAACAAATAAATTTGAGCACTTTTACAGATAATCGATTGATAGATGAATAAACTTGAACTTGGTACCAGATTTGTATATAAAAAATGAATATCATTTAAATCTCGTGAACAAGCTGATTAAGTTCAATTAATATTTGATAATATGCTTTAAGATGATCACATACTCATTTAAGATTCAATTGCAAATTTATTAATATATGATTAAGTAGTAGCCTTTTTTTTATTATTAAATTACCTTTGTTCTGAAATTAAAGCTATTTGTTTAAGTTCATTAAAGTATCTACTTCTTTAGTTATTCAATTTAAATCTCATTTTTAAGTTCAATAGCTTGTTTTTAATGGGCTTGATAGGCTTATTTAGTTAACTAATAAGCAGGTTGCTTGATAATAGCCTTATTAATTGGACCGAACAAGCTGCTTTATGATTACAAATTGAACTCTTGAGCCAAGTTCAAACCAAGCTGAAATAATCATAAGTTTAAATGAGCCAAGTTTGAACAATATCATAAACATCCAAATTGAGCTCGAACTCAAACAAAATTTTAGCAAATGAGCTCGAGCTCAAATAGGCTTAGCTTCCTTCAGTTCGTTACAACCTTAGCTACAATCCATATCTCAATACCAAAAGGAAGAAGCAGAAGTACAAGCAAGGAGAGGGAGGAAGGGACATCTCCAAGGAAAGAGGAGAGGCCTTGAGTAGTTAGCAAACATAGTGCGCTTGCAAGCATTTTGAAGCAACTGCAAGCGAGGAAGTTTACCTCTATGAGGGTAAGAACTTTTTTTCTTTTCCTTTAGAAAAATAAATTAGTTTTTTTAAGTTGTTTGTTTTTTAGTAGCTATTTTTTCAAATTTCCTTTAACATAATTTATTTGCATTTTTAGTTTTCTTTTAAACATTTTTTTAAAACACTTTTCAAGAATATTTTTTCAATTGCTACTCTTTTTTTTTAATTTTTTAATGTTTATAATATGATTTTAATTTTTTTTGTTTAAATGTTTTTATCATTCTTTTTAATTTCTTTTTATTATTTTCTAATTGATTTCATATTCATAATTTAGTTTTCTTTTAAATTAATTTTCTTTTAAAAATTCTTGAACTTAAAATATTTGCTGTCGAAGTTCTTAACCTTATTGATCATCCGTACGTGAATTGGAACATGTTCAACAAGATGCAGACCAACTCGTAGAAATATTGAAAAAGCTGATTTATATTATGTTTCATAAAAATTTTAAAAATAGACCATCAAATTACATTGAAAAATAAATGGTGGACATGGAATTTATCCTTTGAGTTAATGATATGCACATTGATGATGAACTAATAGCACCAAAAAGTCATGAACCATTTGAAGTTGAAGATAATTAAACGATTTGCCTTAAGTGATGACGAGAATAAATATATTATTACTAATATTGAAAATGAGTTAACTTATTGAGTAAACCGCATAACAATCATTCAGGGAAAGAAGCAAAGTTGGATTATATCATCATAAAAGACAATGTAATTCAACTATAGCGGATTATTTACTTATGTTACTAAAATATTATTTTACTTTTATATTGAATTCAATGTTAATTGGTATATGAAGTACAAATATAGTGATCAAATAATAATTGAAGACGGACTGAAGTAGAGGATTATAAAATTGTTGCATATGACAATACTTCAAAATATGATAAACACGAAGAAGAAGCATGGAGTTCTAATCTGTATTTAACTTTTAAGTGGTTATTTGATTTACTGAAAAAGTAATGCTGTGCAAAATGAATGCAATACAAAAATAATATGTTGTATTTAAAATACTTTGGAGTTATTTGGTTCACTGAAATTTCTCATCATCTTTTTTGGCATCAATTTAGTGGGAGTTTTGATTGATCTCGAATTTTATCTCGGAGTAATTGATATATATATATATATTTATTTTGTTTGAAGCAGATTGGATATAATATACTTAAAAATGTATAAAGTATTAGCGGGCAACGACCGACAGCTCCAGCAAAATTGCGATGGGCGGTAATCACAGGCACATGCCGACCGACGACAGCGATTGGTGGCGATTGGCTGGTGACGACAGCAACTGATAGGCAGGTGGCGATCGAAAATAGCGACTGGCGGCAAGTGGCTTTGGTGATCGGCAGTGGCTGCGGATGGCAATGGCGATAGGTGGTTGCAGGTAGAGACAGAAACCAGAGACGAGCAGCGATGGAGGCAATGCCGGCAGGCGGATGATCAACATGTTGCAGCGCAAACGAAAGACGACGTGCGCGCGAAGGAGGTAGGCCGTGGAGGGCAGTGGCTATAACGAGTGATTGGTTGGCCCATAATATTTTACATTAATGAACGGTATAAATTTCAAATTCAGCTAAAATAAACTAAAATGCTAGATTCAAATTCAATCCTATTTTATAATGTATTTGTAATTCTTCATGTCAAACACTTAATTTCTTAAAATCTCTACAAAAGAATTACAATACACTAGAAATTCTTTTAACCAAACAACCCTTAAGTGAGAATTTACGTTGAATCTTGTTTCACTTTAGATTGAGATTTGAGATTGAGGTTTATGTTAATTATCTTATTGAATTCTTATGTGGTTTATAATGATGAAGTTAAACTTTTGATAATTTTTAATATATTATGAATTTTAAATTTTAATATATTTGGAGAAACTTATACACATCTGTTTTTTTATTGCTCCTTTTCACAAGCTTTATGGACTATGATTGGGAGGGTTTTTTCACATCAACTGGCCACACTCTTTTAGTTTGGAAGATTTTTGGCAGCTTGGAAATCTTCTAAGAAATATGATAAAAAGCTTGCTCACTTCCCTTTAACTATTTTATGGTTTTTATGGTCAGCTAGAAACAGTCATAAACACAATAGTTCTCCGCCAAATCCTCCCCTCACTGTTTCTCACATGCTTTCAAACGACTTTAAAGCTTCCCGATTACTATCTAGAGCCATGCCTAATACTGTTTTGAATAAGGGTGGACGACCTCTACATGTTAGATGGCAACCCCCTACCCAAAATTGGATCAAGGCTAACATAGGTGGGAGTTGGGCTCCTAATGCTGCTAGTGCTAGTGGTGTGTTTAGAACTTATAATGGGAGCTCGCTTTGTTTCTTTGCAACTCCTATTAATGCTGCTGACCCAATGGAAATTGAATATTAGGCTGTTCTGTTTGCTATTCAAATTGTTGTTATCTTTAAATTTCCAAAACTTATTATTGAAACAGACTCCATGATGGTGTATGACATGCTCAGAAGGTCACTAAATTGATATGGAACTTAATTTTCATTTGCAATCGTATTTGGCACCTTATAACATCTAGTCAGATTCAAGTACTTTTCTCCTTTATTCACAGGGAAGGTAATGCTCCTGCTGACTGGTTAGCAAAAAATGAATATGGTGGGAATTTTGTAGGCTTGCAACCTCCCTTACCTCTCAAGAGGCTCTTAGTTGGGGATAATCTTGATAGCCCATATATTAGACGCTGATGTTTTCTCAATAATTTACTGATCTCTAAGTGCAGGTTTTCTTACTTGTTTCGTTTTGTCTTTTCACTGGAACAAAGATGGATTGGGGCTTTTTTCTCTTTGCCTCCTTTTGGGTTTTGTTTTTTCTGCTCCTTTTCATTATGGAACAGGATTTCTGGGGCCTGTATTTCTGGTTTGGTCTCTTTGTTTCAGCTTCTTTTGTTCTTGGACATTTTGGCATCAAAAACTTACTGTTATCATTCGGAGGTGTCAGCTCTACCCTGTATTTCAATCTGCTACCTTTCATTTGGTTTCTTTGGGAGTAAAAGCGTATCGGTTATTTTGGGAGAACAAGGACGTCTGTTTCTTGGTCTTTCACTGAAGTCTATAAAGCTTGCAACTTATTTTGCTGGAAGGACTACTGTTTTTGTTTCTCCGAATCTTGCTCAGTGTTCACTTCTGGAGGGACTACTTTTTAATGCTTTCTGACCATAGTTTCTTTCCTTTTTATTTTGGTTCGAGTCTTTTGGGTATACTTTTTACTGAATATTATGCTTTTGTTGAGCCTTTGGGTATACCTTTTCCCTTTCTTTTTTAGGTTTAGAGTGCCTTTGTATGTGGTTGAGAGGACCCCCTTTCTTATGAGTGAGTAAATGTATTTCTTCTGATATTTAGTTCGGGGGACCTCACCCAAACATCTGTGTACTCATTTTTCTTTAATTAACACGTAGGGAGCCGAATCATACCCCCCCC